TCGTAGGATCAATAAAATGAAGTTGTACTCTCTCTGCACCATATTAGAAATTATTAGGCAAATATCAAAATAAGTTTTTTTGTAAAATAAGAGTTTCTAAATTAAATATACTCATTTAAAAATCAAGAAATTTGATGTACCAAAAATGATGAATATATATATATATATATACAACCGAATGATAAATATATGTAACAGTATCATCATTTAATTGATATTATAAGATAGCGATTAGCCACACTGTTCCATCGAGAGAGGGACGACAAAGGGTATTGGAAGGAAAGATATGCGAACTTCTTCAATTAATGTAATAAAAAGTTTCTAAAGAATAACCGTTTGAGTCCCAAGCAGCGTGATTGTGCTGTTCAAATTTCTTGTCAAAAAGTGCCACATAATTGATACGCAATGTAAAATTGATACGTTGTTGCCTTGCATGGCATTTGTTGACACGATTTTTCTAAAGACCCTTGAGACTCAAATGGATAATAAAGCAACAAGTATTCGTAATCGTTAGTTGACAAATATTTGTTGTATAAGTTAAATAGATTTGATAATTATATCGAATAAAGGACAATGGTAAGAATAGTATCAGTGTGTAGGAAGTAGAGATATATATATTTTAATATTCTTATCTTGTTTCGTGTCTTTAATTATATATACGTGGTAGAACCTATGATTTATAAAAGATAATCTTTTTTAGTAGTATTAGATTTTATTTTAAGTATTACGCATGATTCAATTTATTACAGATTTCAAAGTCTTACAATTTTAGAATTATTTTTAAGTTCAAAATATAATTTATTATATTTTTATCAGGAAATTATTTGATATTTTTATCTATTCTCCTATACTTTTAATTTGTAGAAATATATGTTATCGTTAGATTTAGTCTTTTATTTTATATCCGTAGAAGTTAATAGAATTTATAAGACTATATATACATAATGTTTATGTTTTCCTTAAAAAGATAGATAAATTAGTATACGCTTTATTGTTTCATTATATATTACATTACTAATAATAATTCATTTTAGAATGTCATTGATTTTACTTACATATTTTGTAATCTCATAACAACAACGAAATTAATATAATTGCATGTGTATCATTGATATTATTGTAGACATTATATATATTTCCTTTTTTGATATCATTAGATTGGCCGTCAACAATGGGCACTACCTTAGTAATTTTTTGGGAATTAAAGATCCCATACACAAGCAAAAAATTGCTGTTAAAGCAATGGATGTTGTACTTTTTGGTCCTCCCAAAGGTAATATTATTATTAAATAGTTTTAGATATATATTAAAATAAATATTAATTATATTTTATTTCTTTCCGATAATGACGTCAACAGATACCGGACATGGAATCAAAGATTTAATACTGGTTATATTATTATTTGGAGCACTAATTGGATGTTGGTATGTATATCAACAAAAAAAAAGTTCACAGAAACACTTGCACAGAATGATGAAAGATATGGAAAGTTTACACAAAGCAGAACTTGCATTGGAAAATTTACAAGTAAACTTTAATATAATTACAATAATATATTTATATTCTAATAATTATTTTCCTAATATTATCGTAACATTTGTAGAAAGAATTAGAACAAGCAAAAATGGAACAGGAATCTGCGGCTACTGAAAAAAAGAATTTAGAAAAACGTTTACAAGATGGTAATCTGGGATTACATACTTCGTATTCGGATGTTGAAGTATCGCAATTAAAAGCAGAAATAGAAGTTAATATAATAATAAATTTTAATCTATGATATGTTAATATTAAATTTTCAATTTTTTTATATCGTAATGTCCATTTGCAGATGTTGAAATTAGAATTACAAAGAGCGGAAGGTGAACTTGAAGATAGATGTTGGTCACCACCTGCTGGGCTTCAACATTGGCTACAATTGACTCACGAAATTGAAAATAAAGCATATATGAAGAAAAAAATATCGGCGGAGAAACAATTGCAACAAGCGCGAGAAGCAGTAAGTCGTTTATTAAATGTCTTCCTTAAGTCAATTATACATAGATAATATATATTATATTTATTGTATAATATTAGTGCGAAAAATTACGAAAAAAACGATCAAGTTTAGTTGGAGCATTTGTTTCCACTCATGGGAAGTCCATAGACGAAGTTGATAAAAGTATAGTTGAAGCGAGGACAGCATTAAACGAAGTTACTGTTGAATTGCAAGAACGTGTTCACCGTTGGAAACAAATTGAACTTTTGTGTGGCTTCAACATAGTTAATAACAATGGTTTGAATTATTTAGAAACTATGTTGTACAGAGGAGCATCCAATGGTCGAGGTTTTGGATTAAGAGGTATTTAATGGACAACATATGTTATACGCATATTTTTTATCTAAAAAATTGTTATTCTTATTTATTACTTATTATTTATAGGTCGACTCAGTAGTCAAGATGATTTAGATGACGAGACAAGTTCAATATATACAACATCATCCCCTGGTGCTGCAGGTAAGATAGACATGGAGATGCATGAAAACTTAGACTGATTAATTTTGATGCAACATGCAGATACTTACGTATATATATTGCGTATTGTAGACATCATATTTTAATCATTTTGGAGAATATAAATACTGTTAGTATTGAAGTTATTCAAGTTATCCAAATGTTTACTCTCCTACCATTTATCATATTATCTGTTTAATTCTTGTACTATACATTTGATTTATTAATGTATAGATATATATATATATAAATATAAATACATATATATAAATATAAATATATATTTATATAAACGTAAAATGTATATAATATATATATATACACTATTTTTATAAAATACAATTACTGTATGGATAAATTAAATGGATTGTTGATATATATAATACCTCTTTACTATAAAATAGATTACTAAAATTGACGATATTAAAGAACTTGCATTATTTACAGTTTCCTTTTGTTTTGACATTGTATTATTTTTATTAATTAGATTTTAATGAGTTATGCCATATGGCATTATTATTCACAGGTATGTTGGAGAACATGAATTGGAAGGAATCATCTATACCACCTGACTCGTCTAGCGGTGAAACAGGTAAGGATACTCCGCCCGAAGTCGTTCATTTTACGGTTGGTGACAGCAATGAAGAAAGTATTATGGTACCATCAATTAAAGAGAAGACCGGTATGACTCGATCATATAGTCAAGAAACCAACATGGCCATAGTTGACGATAAAACAACTTCATCATTCCTATCAAAGACTTCATATTCGGAAAACTCATTAGATATGTCTGAGAAATCAGGCTATCGTGCTCTCTTAGCGAAAAGGCCACTCAAAGAACTACCGACTGTGATGTCGATGGACGATGAAACGCTATCGACAGATTCCAATTCAACCGCTGACAATGAAGAAGTAAAACGCCGACGCAGGAAACTTCATTTTCCAGCATTCAGGAAGAATAAAACTAAAATTACGTGATGTTCAATAGTCCCAGAATCAAATATGTTAAAAATTCATTCAAGACATATCCCAGACATGCACTTACAAATTATAATTAGGTAATATATAGTGTATGTGCCTATCTTCTTAGGTATAGTTTCGCGTGCGGTGTATGTAGTGGCCTTACCGGCAGGGTGTCCATGATGTTTGAACTCCTTCAGTGAGCGGGGCCTTTTTTTTTTTTTTTTTAATAAGCGTACGTGATATAGTCTGTATATCGTAATTGAAAACAAACAAAAATATGACAAATATATTTACGGAGAATCGAACATATTACTGTCAACTTAACAATGTTTCTATCAATGCATCGCCAATTGAATTTTTCCAATAGACCAAAAAGCGAAGCAGCCCGATTGGGAGCCCTTTTTATCTGCTTGATTATTCCATTCGAAAGTGTGCATAGTTGTGATTAGCAGAGATGGAGTGCAGCCAAGATGTGTGTGTAAGGTGCGATTATCTCCTTGGCCTATTATTGTCTACTAGGCATTTGTTAATCTCATTTTATCACATTATTAAGTAATTTGGATAATCCATAAGTATGGATTTATTTCTTTCCATAAAAAAGAATCCATTTCAAGTGGTCAGAATACACGTAACATTACTATACGATCACCCTATATTGCGTTATTATTTAAATATCCAGTATTATTACTTAAAACGTTTGGTATTCCTTTTACTCCATTTACCAAACGTTTTTTTGTACCTATACCATTATTTCACATACCATTGTGCAAAGTATTTAATGTCTGATCAAAATAGATTTTTACATAAAAGGATATTATGATTCAGGATGACAATATATGTATAGTTTTTGAAAAAGAAGTTTTTTTCCAATAAATTTTAATAATAAAATGTTTATGAGATAATGAAAATAATAGTAATAGTAATAGTAATGATAATAATAATAATACAAGATATTTAAATAATTATAAATAGGGTATTTCTTTTTACAATGATACTATTGTTCCTAACGTGATCTATTGTATTCTCTCTTTCTTCTTTCTCTCTCTCTTTCTCTATCTCATGTACAAGTACTTTTTATACAATAATTTTAGAAATGATTAAGTATCAGTTAGAATACAGGTATTTAAAATTAAGAAAAAAAAACATGAACGAGTATTTTTGTTCGGATATGAATATTAAATGAAATTTCTCTTCCATGAGATAATTTGATTTTAACTTGAAAACGTTACTTAGATGAAAATATTTGAGGTGTAACATTCTAATTCCGTTTAACAGCTATAATGTATTTAATGTTATGTGTTACCCTGTTTACTCTTAACTTCGTGTTATATTTCCCCGTTTTAAAATAAATTATTAGTAATAGCAATCAAAATCTATAAAGATTACTTATTAGGTCAAACCCACTTTCATATGATGATCAATATGTAACAAATGGAAATATAATAGAATATCAATAATATGTAGAGTAAACAGAATGAAAATAATTACTAAAATCGAATAACATTCTATAGGAGATATATTATTCATTATACAATTCATTATTTTTACATAATTAACAATTTCATTTACTTAATAATGCAATTGCAGTAATCAGTAATTCTAAAAAAATATTAGCATCATATCTCTGTCGTTTGATCTTCGCACTTTTATAAATGTCAATGTAGGTGGCAGCAGCGTCGGCTGCATTAATCGCCATCTATTCAATTTTTTGAATTTCTCACATACTAACTAAAGTCAACGTAAGTTTCCTTTTGAGGTATATATATATAGTTGTTCGATAAATTAATTATTAAATATTTAGTATAAAAATAATAATTCCTAAGTAATAATTCATATTTTAATTAAAAGTGAATGAAAAGGGTTAATTTAAGAGAAATTATAAGTTAAACAGTGTAGAAGAGAGGTTAGCTATTGTAATTACAATCATGGTTGACGCGTGTTCCACAAAAACAGATCTAACCAAATTTTCTCATAATATATACAAAAATAATCCTTTACTATTTAAAAGTTATATAGGAAGAGAAGTCAAAATTACTGCTGACAATAGCCTATATACTGGTATTGTATATACTGTAGATCCAGTTTCAGAAAGGTAAAACGATTAATATATTTTTCACTTTTCAGCGTGTTTATATTTACTTTTTTAATGAAACTTTATGCAGCAATAGTAGCAGTAGTAGTAGTGGTTGTTGTTTCTGCTGCTGTGTAATCATAATACATTTTTAATTGTATTAAATAGTAACCAATTAAATCTTTTCATTATAAACATTCTTTTGTAGCGTAGTACTTTTACAAACTAAAGAAGAAAATCATCATAATTTAAAACTAGTATTTGGACATGCGATAAAGAATATTGAATTAACTGAACAAGCGGAAACATCTTTACCCGAGTTATTCCAATTGTCAACCAATCAGTTATCGTTGCCGGATATTAAGAAAAGAAAAAATATCGTTAAAGAATATTTATTAAAATCTAGATTTCCAGTTATAGATATTGATGATATTTTATATATCGAAGACAGTGTTTCCATAAAACCACCATATGATGCAGAGCATTGTGTATCCACTAACGTTATTGTATTAAATAGAATACAAGATATTCTTCGCAGTATTAAGGAATAAAATATTATTTGCGTGTGTGTATACGGTGAATTTTCTAAATGTATAACAATATTAAAATTTTTATTTGTTAGCTTTAATATACTTCATTTATTTAGAAAAATAAATTTGCAGTTTATATATATAAAAAAGGAAAACAAAGAAAAACATATTTATATATCTGCAGGTAATCGTTAAAAATGATATCGGCTTATTTATATATATATATAAATTTATATAATAAATTAGAGGAATCAAAATAATCTATGTCATTATGGCAATATTATAATAATAAAAGGTACACAACAAAATCACAATATTCAAGATTCCTGTATAATAGAACATATACAGAGGATGATTGGTAAATGAACAATTTGGGCAATGAACAAATTGGATAACAAACTTGTGTTCGGATAACGAACATCTTGCAGAACAAATGCAAAAAGAAGAAACAATGCATGTAAGATTTATGGAACTGTATTTTGCTGCCAAACAAATTGTCTTTGAACAAATTATATTCATTGACCGATCACCCACTATAATCCACTAACAAATATCAGTAAAGATAATAAATGAATTACATAGTCTTTTTTGAGGTTCCAGTTAATGAATATATTCTTTGGAAAAAACAATATATTATTGATATGAATCATTCCAATTTTTCTTCTTTTTAATCTAATAAATTTCGAATCAAATTCCTTTATCAATTTCACTTGTCAAAAAATTGATGTATTAAAATACTAATATTTTAGATAAAAAGATTTAAAATCTAATGTATAAGAAGTTTTATATCAAGCCGTATTATAAAATATTCAAGTATAAAAAAAAAAGTTCTTTATGACATTTATACAAAATTTGATGTCTTCTGTAAATATAATACATATTAAAAAAGAAAATGATTAAGAAAATACTAAAAGTATAAATCGTTAAATATAATTTTATAGTTTGTAAATAATATTTTTCAATCTATTTCGTAAATTAAATTAAAAATTTTTGTGCATTTTTAAAATCATTAAATATATATAAAACAGGGTTTTTTAAAGTGAAGTTAACCGACCCCGTACGGGGTTGCAGCAATTGAGCAAAAGTAAAAAATTTGTGAATAACGTAACGACTGAAAATTAATTTAAAACCAGTTTGACATCGCATGTATAATATGTCTGAGTTTACGATATTGAAAAAGAAGATAGTATAGAATTTATATCCAGATATAGATAGTATAGAATCTATATCCAGATATAGATAGTATATAGAATCTATGTCGCACAAATCTTTGCTTGAGTAGAGTGGCTCACCAAATGGAAAAGTTTGAAAAGCCCTACTACATATAGAATATCTGTTAAATAAAATATAAAATCTTATACATCAATTATTTGAAATTAAATTACCTGCAAAACACATCATTGAAAAGTATCATAGCTTTAAATTTGATAAAGTTATGTATAGTTAGAAATAAATAATTAACTCTTTTTTTTTATCATTTGAAATGATAAGAATATAATACAATAACTGTTGAAAGAAAAGTGATAAGTAAACTTTTATCACAATGACTACTGATAATTCTTCTTCTTTTTTATAAGTGTACGATAAGTTGCACTTTTCTTTTCTTTTTAAACAGAGAGAATAGCAAGTTATTCTCATTTTATATATATTACACGTTAGATAACAAAATAATATAAATAACTATATTATTTTTTTATCGTACAATATTGTGTTGATATATATATTTACTACTATCGTAAATATTAAATTTTACGAAATATTTTCTTGATTTTTTTTTTTTTACTGTTTCTTAAGACTCACATCACTGATATACGTTGCTCGGACAATTTTTAATTGCTTGTGTAAGTAACATTATCATTTGTAAGAATTAATAATGTAAGAATTAGTATATATATATATATATATGTATGCTGAAAAGATTGCGATGGTGCTTAAAAAATCTAATTTCGTGTTAGACAAAAAATAATCGAATGCTAAGATTAGAAACTTCACTTGTGGAATACATGGTTTCGTAAGCTCTCTTAACTCGATTTTAGATTTCTTAATTATTTAGATTGATTGCATAGCTTTGAACTAAAAATAATGTTTTTCAAAACTGATGCATTTTAATTGTATAGCAATCTAAATTATTTAATACTTATATTTTCACTGGTTATTATATCATACGAATCTTATATAAAGATATATTGTGACTGCTTTAAAGCTTTTAGAGATATCTTAAAATTTTAGAAAAAAAGACAGAAAAAGAAAACGAACTAATTAAAGATTTACTAAGCTATGAGGTAGGTCATTCCATTTCATTATCAGAATAATACTCTATAGGATTTGGATCACGAGGTTTGCGCGAATACTTTAATCCTAATTTATTAGCTAGTTTTTCAACGTGTAATAATACCTGTAAAATATATGAAATATTACGTTAATATAAAAAAAAGAAACAAATGTATATCATCGATGATTATTACTTACATAATCTAAGTGTTCCTTTGTATGCGAAGCAGAAAGACAAAAACGTATTCTAGCTTGCATTAGAGGTGTAGCAGGAAATCCAACGCCGACCGTTGCTATATTATATTTTGTAAAACCACGTACTACCGTCCTGGTATATCATAAATAGTTTTCATTTGAATTTTGATCTTCTCTTTTCTTTTTTTAAATGTGACATAAAAATTATTAAAACGTACCAAACTTTAGAAAATAAAAAAACTAGCATCGGTGCTATCGGTGAATCTTCATTTCCATAAATAATAACTCCGATTTGATTTAACCTACGTCTAAAATATCTGACATTCCTTGCCAATTGTTTGAGACGATTTTTTCCGGCATCAGTTCCATTCTCACCCGAGATGATTCTCATAGATGCGATAATTTGTTGCGCTATTGGAGGCGACATGGCAGTTGCATAAGTATGAGCATGACTATGTACCCGTAAATAATTTATTAAAGTCTATAAACAAAATATAATCTTATTGTGTATAAATGATAAATAGAATAGAGCAGAAAAAGAAAATCTATTATTAAATCATACTTTTGTTCCGGCTATATATCCCCCAGAAGATCCAAAACTTTTCGTAAATGTTCCCATTAACATATCAATCTGACGAGGATCTATACCATAGTAATCACAAACTCCTCGACCACGTTTTCCTATCGCCCCGATACTATGAGCCTCGTCCACATAAAGATAAGCCTACAAATTTCACAATAATAATGAATTATTGATAAATATTTGCAATTGTAATCTTCTTTTATCTTATTCATCATTAATTTTAAATTTATTAATTTTAATTTTATTATCTTACTTTCTTGCATAAAAAGATACAAATATAATAATAACGAGCAATTATTTAATAATTTAGAAAATTTGCTTCTTTAGGTATGTTTAATCACTTCAGTACGGCCACGAAATTTTGCTTACAACCGGCATTTAAATTATGCACGATACATTGTGCTATGTATAGCACAATGTGTGACTATAGTCGACGCTCGTACCCAAGTGGTTAATGATTACGACATAACGAAATATAATATCATTATGACTAATCGTTAATATTATTAAACTTTCCGAGATTCTGAATTTTTGAAAAAATTCTGTATTCAACAATTATACCAACTTTGTACTTTTTTTTCAGCTCTAAAATTTCAGGAAGGTGTACTATTGATCCTTCCATCGAATAAATGCCTTCGACTACTATAATTATTTTCTTCCACGGTTTACCGCTTTTGGGTTGACCGTAAACTATTGCTTTCTTTAAAATATCTTCCAAATGTTTTACATCTGCAATAAGGTAGACATACGTGTATTTTATCGTTTCATTATTATTTGTAAAATGATATCCACTTACTATTATGTTTAAAAACACGTGCCGTTGCTCCTGATAATCGTAATCCAAGTATAAGCGATGCATGATTTTTCTCATCGCTTACCACCAAACAGTCTTTACTAATAAGGCATGGTAAATTTAATGCGTTTGTAGCAAATCCCATCCCAAATACTATGGCATCTTCGACTCCCAAAAATTTAGCAGTTAATTTTTCTAACTCTTCATGGATAGGCGCGTTTCCTAACAGACAAAGAATCTTTTAATTGCAATTTAATTTAAATTTACTAATTAATTGTGTGTTTTCATCTCTACATAGCATTAAAAAATATATATTTTTACCTAGTTCAAGACGAGTACTGCAACTTGCACAACCTAATTTTTTGAGAACCTCAATACTTTGTTCTATACATTCTCCACTTGATTCTGCAAAGCCTAAATAATTGTAAGATCCCAAATTTATACAATATCTGTTAGCTCCAGTAAACCTGCCGATATGTTATAACTCATTAATATTAATAATTAATAATTGAATAGATTTCTTTGTAGTCTCTTACTGAAAGGTCCAACCATAATCATGAGTGACACGATCTTTTAACATAACCATTGCACCAGGTACAGAACTTATTGGTCTATTCCAACAATCCCTTACTCTTCTGTAGACGTATAGAAGATAAAATTTTTCAAAATGATTATACAGCGGTGCATAACCCTGAAATTAATAATATATATATATTAAATCTTATTATTTTTTATTTTAATTGATCTATCTTATCATCTTACCGGTCGATTTTTTTCCTGAGCTACTTTTGGTGTAAAGAAAAATTGATTTACAACACCTAAAATCATAAGAATGTAAAAGCCAATGTATGTTATTATTGTAGTTATAAGTGCAACCTTCTCAAAGGATTCTTTCGAGAGTGAACTTTTTTCTATATCATTTTTATGATTCTTGGAACACTGAAACATACATAGAGATTTTCATTTTTATATGTATTATCATTTTTTTAAAGCTTCTTATCAAAGTAAAAAAATTAGTTTTGTATTATCTATAAACTGATAAAATAACTAAATTCATATAAAATTTTAGTAAATATCTACAAATACAGATTACTATAGAAGTTAATGCTAAATATATCGTAACGTTAGATTTTTTAGAATAAAATATTTGCTAAATATATATCAGATATTAATTTTAAAAATTTAGAAGACAGTATCGATATTAGTTCCAAAGAATGATAATTAATTTTTATCTTCTTCTAATGAAAGTTTTATAGAATATGAAAGAAAATAAAATGTGATAATATGTGATAACAACTAAAAAACTAATTTTCTATAAAACATCTTA